GGTAGCCTTAGGTGCTCATCCCCCAGATCTAGTCTCGTTTCATCTGTGCACATATGTAGACCTCATTCATCTCACCCGCACTACGGCCATGTGCTTATCCCATCACGGCAGGACCTAGTTTAGTCACAGGGGTAGTAGGGCTGTAAGAGTACACCTGAACCTACCTAGTCCTAAAAGGTCAACTTGGTATTCACATGCTTTCCACGCGGCATCCAACCAACCCCATAGGCCAACCGCCTTTTGACAGGGGTAGGTTGAGCGTAAGCATTCCCTAGACCCGGAACGACTGTAGCTTACATCAAGCTAAGGAAACCGTTGAGGCTTGAATTATGTGTTGCTGAAAAGGCTCCCCGTAATCGACTTTTCGTGGTCTTCGGAATAAGTGTCTCTTTGGGGGGGTCGGGTTAACTGTTATCTCTCAGCAGTAGGCTATATCTTTATAGGCTATACTTAAGTACCTGTTTTCATACGAAGATTGCTTATTAACTTGGGTTACGTAGGTAGTTACCTATATAATATTTACTAATTCAAGTAATACTAACCAAGACTCTTGGAGTTATAAGTCTACCTATATACGTGCAGTTCCTACTTCGTTCATAAGGAAAGAACGTATTTATGAGATTAGTTAATGGAATGTTTTAGGTTAGATATATTAATTTTGCAAATTTCTCCATTTGCCAGGGACTATTAACCTAAGAGAACGTATATATCCCATAGACTTGCATCTTCCCAAAGTATTGTATCTATTATAGCCAATACTGCATCAGATAACACTTGAATCAGGAAAAATGTAAAATAATGATTTCGTCTGGGCTCGAACTAGGGACCTTTTGTGTTCTAGACTTGGTACTGAATTGTTAGGCAGATACCCTATGAGGGTAGGATAATTTCGGTCTTCTTCACGAAGATCTACTTGGCGGTTTACTACATGACCAGCTAAACGACGAGATCTAAGAAGGATACTTGCTAGGTAATATTTTTATTTTTAGTATACTACTATCTAAACCCACCAACTAATTTTCTAGTTTTGTTTATTTTAAACCAAGAAATATTTTTATACTCTCTCTCTCTCTCTCTCTCTCTCTCTCTTGAGGTGCCAGAAGACTATGTGGTTACAAGTTTCGCTAAGTAGCTGAAACTTGTGGTGGGTTGGTAGGTATTTAGTATTATATCCTATTAGGAAGGCCCTTCTATATTTGATTCTATCAGACTTTTTTCTAATTCCATAGGGATTAAGGGGTAGTATCATAATATTTTATACGACATAAAGGTATCACTAAATTCGAATAATTGTATGAAAAGCATGCCAGCTTCTTCCCCGTAATTATATTTGCATCAGTAATGGCTTAAAGGGTATAAATCTCTACCTAGCTAGTCTTTTTTGGCGCCCCTTGTGGCGTTAACAATTTCACAATCATATATCGTCAGCAAATACTCTTCTTGCGGACCAGAGCTTACAGACTTTCAAAATATGTACAACTGACAAAGCTGTCCTGGGTCCCAGACCTTCATCGTAGCAGATGTACATAGGTACCTAGGCCAAGTCGTGTCCTAGCAACAGCGTGAGAATCTTTATCAATTTAATCACGAATTTTTAGTTCTCCTAATGTTGTCATGAAATAATGCCAATTGGTCTGTCCATTTCCTTCATGAGTTGGATACAGATCAGCTGGAAAAAGGTTTTCATTGCCTCACCTACCAACGCCTTTCGGAACTTGGGCGTCTTTCTATATTTTCCTAAATACCATTCTATCAACTCGGTTTTATTTCAATCCTAACACCAACCCTCCTTTCACTTCCATCTTCCATCTCCATCTTTTCATCCAATCTTTGACGTCTGCGACCTTCAAGATGAGTCAATCAAACTTTTCGTGCATCGACAACGTGGTGTTGTGCGACGCCTGCCTTGACTCTTACCCTCCTAGCTTCATATACGAGGCATCTTGTTCCCATAGCTACTGCGTGGACTGCTTGCGATGCATGTTCATTTCATTATTTAACCACAATGAACTTGCCCCTGGCTATTGCAACACAATTATCGCCTTCATGTCGCAAATGGCCGCACTACTCGGCGAAGATTTCTACATGGAGCTTATTACAAAACTCGCAGAAACAAATAGCCCTCACAGCTCTGTCCATATCAACACAAATTCTGGCGTCCCTATCTCCGAAAATCACAATAACTTCGGCAATTCTGTCGCCGCCCAGGGATCTGGGGTGCCCTATTGCAACAAGTGTATGAAGGATGGCGACGAGGCCAAACCCTCCTTGGATGACAGTCTACAAGAGCCAGCTAAGAAGCAAGGCCGAAAGAGCTTCTGTAAATGCAACACAATTCCAGCAGAAGACTATGATAGCGACGACTACACTGTACCGTAAGTTCTTATTCCTTTCTTAACCCCCTTTGTGCCATTCCATATTACTAGGTTAACGAGTAACTAACATTCCTGTCTTTAAAGTTGCTACTGCAGAGCACGACCCTGCCATAAGTGCGGAGAACCGATAGATGATTGCAACGATGACTATTACACAGACCCTGAGATTGAGATCGCCGAGCTCCCCATTCGCGAGAATATTTATATAGCTCCGTTGCGCAGAGACGACGAGACAGAAGATATATTGGCTAAGGAAACAACAGATTAGGCAGTCAGGAGAAGTGGAATGGTGATAGTGCCAGGGCGGAAACAGCTGGTTAAGGGGTATCGCCTTACAGAATCTACCTCATAATCTAGGTAGCTACTCTAATCACTTCGGATTCTGGGACAATATTAGCTTTATACTGCTATATACTATATTGTCTCCCATGCTCCCCCCTATTTTCTTTCCTTTTTAGAGATGTGATTATACATGTGCTTTGCTTGATTATTGTCATTATCATATGAAAAGTAACTCTCCATATGATATAGACGTTACTTCTAGTTATCATCGAGTCCCTAAGCGAGAATCTTCCCTAAGGAAACCCAAGATCTAAGAAGCACAAGATTGACCAAATAGGACGCGCCATTTGTAGTATTGAACTATTTATGTTCTATGAGGTAGATTCGTATGTAAAGCTTTGTACCTTACTTCGTGTTCGTGGGTATGTAGTATATGTTGAGGTCCATAAGCAACGAGGTAAATTATAATTTCACGACTTATTTGTTTCATTATCCTTAGCAGAATCGGATCTAACATACTAAACATAATATGTCTAGAATCCTTCGGCATCATAGACACTGTTGTAGATATCTTCCCCCTCTCTTACCCCTACTCCAAGATATATTCTAGCAACAAGGGCTATTGTTTACTAAATAATACTCGTACCTAATATATTCTCGGATATTTGTATTATTTCGGTTCCTATTTCCTTGAATTGACCTCGTATGCTCTTCAGAAAGTGGTAGTGTTTGGTTTACTCTCGTTGGGTATTGTAGACCTATTTCTGAGACGACTAGGGACACGGTAGAATAGGATGTAGGAAGGGTAGAAGCCTCGGGATCTAAGGAGGGGAAAATATTAGCTGGTCCTCGAGTTGTGATATCGCGAGTAAACAAACGGCCTTTCGAAGATACTGCAAAATCTTTAGCAGATGGTAAGTACGGAACATGGTTACTTACCTACTTCTTCACGGCATTGGTTTCGTGGTTTGAGAATACGTACCTAGGTACATGAGGCTCTTTAGAAGCTTGGTTGTTTACTAACTTGAACGTAACTTGTACACCATCATTGGGGGGAAGGGTCATCCGACGCGCCTTGGTTAGGTAGCAACCAGGGCAGTTTGTTTCAAGAAAAAGTCTGCCAACTGGTGTCGCCTATCGTAACTGCCACAGCGGTTCTTAGAGTGCTACCTAGTAAATCTACTGACCCATAATTATCATCTGAGGTTGAAGTTTTTCATCTGTGGTACCTACCTAGTGACAGTCTGTGCATGACGAGGTGTGCTTGCTCTTTAAGTCATTGTTGGAAAGTAAGTGACTGTATGGGTCTGTAAGTGTCTGTAAGTGCCTGTAGGTAACTGTAGGTGACTGTAGGTGACTGTAGGTGAGTGGGATGGCAGCTGTTGATTGCTACTTATTCACCGAAAAAGGGGGGCTAACAAATGGCCCCATTCACAGGTTCGTCGCCCTCTAACGGCAGGAACACACTAACAAGACTACCAAACTACGTATGTGCATGACTGTAGAGTTTTCTTTTCCTTATCTTTGCCGGTCTGTCGTATAGCAACCCAAGTACGACAGGAAGGTACGGACCTTCTTTCCAGCAGAATTCAAGTTCGTACCTATGTTCCTAATATCCCAAAGGCGGTAAACAGCCTCCCGAAATTAATTATATAACAACAGAGCCTTCAACCAATCTCTAGCATTCACTTCTAACATTCTTTCATCACACAACTCTTATTCTGCTATCACTACAACCAGAACAAGAATATCATAACCCCATACCCTCCAGTTACCCTTTACCCCTTACCCTTTACTACATACCTTGACGCGACACAACCCTTCAACTGTCGCAGGACATATCAATCCAACGTGATTAATTCAAGGGATTGATCCAACCTCTAGTAAGTTTCTTCTACTTACCCAAAGCTACTTTCCTACCACAACTTTCCTTAGTCAAGTCGCGCCTTGAATGTTTGTTATATACATCAGATGGTCTCTAACCTTGAATAGAATACTCGCAGTCACGAGTCTACCTTGTCTTACTTCAATTAAGTCTACACTGCGTGGCATTAGAGTCTGTTAGGTATGATCTCTTCATCCAAACTATTGTCCAACAGTGACTAGACTTGAGTGACATTAAAGACTCATGATACAATATTTTCGCATCAAGTAACTGACTCTTTCTATCCAGGGCCTATCTACCACTCTACATAAATTCATGTAAAGTCTTGCCCCTTTCCCCTACACATCTATCATTACACATCTAACATTACATCACAACTTCCAGCACCCCTCTACACCTCTCTACGATTCGCCATTACTTACCTATTTCCGAAGACGACGTTGAGAAGCCCTAACAAGATGAGTCAAGACAACTCTAACTGGCAGGGAGAGGCGTAAGTTATAGTACCCTAATAAAAGCCTTTATGGACACAAGAGCTAACATAATACAGCAACCCTCACTTCAATCCCGTTGCTCCTCCTCTTGGGGCAAACGACATGTATGCCTCGTACGGAGGTGTTCCTGACAACTCGTCAATTAGTCAGGCAAGCGGCATGGCATTCAACAATGCCAACGCCACGTCTACTATGACAACCCCAGGAGGAATGGCTTCGGGAATGTCGTCGGCGAGCCCTATGTCGCCAATGCCCCTAATGACCTCCATGGCTCATCTGCCTCCTACGCCTCAGCAGTCCATGTCACCTATGTCACCTATATCCCCGACTCTACTTGGGTCCATGGCCGCCGCTTCTATGGGCCAGGGCTACCAAGGCTGGGCAGGCAACATGAACATGGCCTTAGCCTATGGTTCTCGTCCGACCAGTAAGTAGCAATAAAGAGTAGTGGAATGTATAAATGTGCTAATTCTTTTTTTCAAAGACCAGAATACCCCTGGTATGCCGATGGGCTTGCAAGGCCAAGGGATGCTTCACCAATATCAAATTGGTCGGGCCCCAATGTCTGCCCTACCACCTGCTCCAAGGTCGGTTCCAATGTCCGCTACCAACCGTCCCCTCAACTCGAGACCGCCTATGCCACAGCGCCGACTAGGCATGGTCAACTCTTCCTCTGGAAGCGGCGCGGACTCTGGTATGTCCGGTCCGGAGCGGGACTCTGCTCATAGGGTCACGAAGAGACAGGGGAAGACAAGACAAACAAAGGCCGACAAAGACGGAGACTTGTCAATGTCGGACTCGTCGAACCTGCAATGGAGACCGGGGATGAGACTGACCAAGATCCTCGACTCCTGGTCTGAGGAGAGAAAGGAGGAGACTCGCATCAGAAACGAGTTGATCTCCAGGTGCAAGGCTGATCATACGAGAAGCCAGAACAGGGTCTCGGCTCGTAAGAGTCGTCAGAAGAAGGAGGACGCACTGCAGGATGCTAGAGGTAATGTGCAGAAGCTCCAAGAGCAGAACACGGCACTGTCTCAGCAAGTACAGGAACTCACTGCAAGAGTCAACATCTACCAGATGGATATTGAGAACCGTGGCCAGACCATTGCCATGCTGGCCAGCGAAAATGCGGCTCTCCAGTCGCGAATCAACCAACTGGAGATGCAGGCCTTGCAGGGCGGACAAGGAGCACAGGAATACCAGGCAGAGCAGATGCCTGCGCAAGAGCTCAGTCCGGTTCTACCTCCCTACTCGAGCCAAGTACAGAGCCAACTTCAAGGCTCTATGTTCCTGCAGCATCCTATGCAGAGCCCTAATCCGACCATGACTCAAGTCCAGGGTCAGGCTGCCCCAGGTCTGGCTCAGAGCCACGCCCAGGCCTCTTCGTCCGCCCAGGAAGGCCTTGAGGTTCAAGAAGCCCCTCAAGGCGAAGAGCTAGCCGGAGGTCAAGAGGAAGAGGGAACATATACAAAGGCTCTAAACTCTGACCTGTCTCCTATGAGCACGGCTCAATGCCCAGCCAAGCCAGGAGACAAGGTAGATGGTGAGATGGACAATGGCGGCGACATACCCTTCTATGACTACCAGGGTTTCTTTAATGACGGTGACCAGGCATAGACGCTACCTAGTCTAGCTACTGGCACCAGCTTAACGAATTTCCTTTCGGTTATTTCGGGAACTTGCCGCTTTTCTGGCATTCCCTTGTCATTGTTATTTTCTTTTGTTTCAGGAGTTGGTGGTTAACGGTTAACGGTTAATGATACCCTAATGAATGGATGAACTTATGACGGGAGTTCATGAGGCGCCTGAGGGTAGGGGTGGATGGAGAGGGAACAATGCCTTCTTGTTATAAGGCCAAAGCAGTCGATTCTAGAGACTTGCTATTATTGTTATGTTTTGTTCCTGTTCGTTAGGTTATGATCCATTCCGTTATTAACAAAACATAAACCCCCACTCATGATTGATAACGAGGAACTGTGATTGTATGTGTTCCAGTACATTGTAGCTATGTTCAATGGTGGCTCTTCTGTTGTTGTCTCGGACTAATTTGCCCGTCAAGCAGAGGAAGATGGCGTGCTTGATGTCCTAGTGATAATTAGCCTGTTGGGAAAGATTCTGTCATGTAACATAAAACCATACATAATTGAGAACCCTTGTTCATACCAGTAAAGACAAGACTTCTTTTGGTGTGATAATTGTCTAGCAGAGTGTTCTGAATGTAAAACTCTTTCTCGTTTAGAAATGGCTGAGGCAACTTTCTCTAAGAAGAAGGGCTGAAAAGACACCTTAGATACCTAGGTAGGTCTATGAAAAGGGGGCTTGGTCGTGTCCAAAAGTTGAATAGGGAAAGCTGAGAGAGCACAATGAAGAGAGAAAGGTAGGAAATAATCTCTTGGGTTGGGGGACGAAGGCATGAATAAATACCTACTCCAAGGACGTGCAATATGGCCTGACGAATCTACAGAAACATTCATTGGGAATAGAGTCCAATGAGTGGTATGGATGATGTGTGGCTAATGATCTGGAATTGAAGCTAAAAAGAAGTGCTAAATGTGCATCATGATATTGGTTTTATATATATATATATATATATCCCACTGTAATTGTACATGTCAGATAGTATGAATAGTTACATTGTGGGTTATCCATGACTTTGCAAAAACGGTGGGTTATATGCACTTACATACCTAGATCAAAACTATGACAGATTTGACAATGGAATAACACGTATATCCATTGGCGGATAGCTGCAGATATATGCGTATGAGTCTATCAAACAACCCCCTTTTGTGCGTGTAGACTACCTCTTACCCCTATTCCACGCTTATGTAATCGACATATCATCCCCTTATTATTAGTAAACGCCAGCGCAATCAGGCTAACTAACCATTGCATAAATCAACAAACACATGCAAAGAACAATCACGATAGCCTTGCTACCTAGTTGCCCTTCACACCGTCATCATCCCATGACGCATTTCAAGAACTAAAGCAAGACTGGTCATTGATGCAAGATAGGTTAGGTTAGGTACCTAACATGTTCACTGGAAATGCAATTTCATGACCTTATGTAGGTAGACAAAGAGTACCTACACGCACAGCCCATCGACCATGAGGCTTTTCGGGATACCTGTCACCGGGATATTAAATTCGAATTGGGTATTGATGCATTACCCGTAGAAGTGATTTATTACCTACAAGATACAAGATACAAGATACAAGATACAGATTTGACACTTTCCGAAGAGGTCTCCGCGATTGGCTGTCACAACATCACATCTGTGTAATCCTCGTGTTACAAGCCCATCGGAAATTTCCACGGTCGGCGCCTTATTGATTTTCTTTTCTTTGTACAACCCAGCCTGCCTCTTGTATGTACAACTCAAAGACCCAGCCCGACCGGCCGACCGAGGTGGGAATATGAATATGGCGGTGAACAACTTGCCGGAGACTTGATATGTAGTGTACCTAGGTGGGCAAGTGGGAATGTTCACCTTGTATCGCGAGGTGGACCTAGAAGAGGTGGAAACAGCTTTATTGCTCCGCAAGGAACTCCAACTCTATCTCTTGTGGAGGCCAATAACTACCTAACCTATGTAAACAGATTAAGTGTATCCTTTGCTTTAGATATCTCATCTATAATTCTGACACAATTAGAATACTAAAGTAGAGTTAGTGTGTATAAGAATAGCCAACTTCGTTCAAGTCTAATACAATATCTTACTAGGAATCACTCAAGTATATCAAAGCTCTTGGTATTATATCTGAATAATATTTCATATTAACGTTAAATAGTTATTAAAGACTGAAAACTCTAGTCTTAATACTAATTGTAGGGATAGTACCACTACCACCTAACATTAAACAGTCCGGGCAGTACTGCTGCGCCGCGATGTACATTATAAAGTATTGATATAGGAAATTGCCTGGCCGGCAGTCGGTATGTCCCCGTAAATGTGTACAGGCGAACTCAAAACGTACTTTCAAACTCCATGATCCCCATCTCTCTCTCTCTCTGTGTGAGGCTCCATGTTCCAAATATTCCAAATATATAAAAGACTCCCAACCGCAGATCATGACCTCCGTACGGATTCGTACTCGTAGTCTCGTGACAATCTTAAAACGTCAAATCCAAACTCCCGCCCCATATCTCATTGCGTAAATAAAACATTTATCGTAGGTAGTATATAGGTATATATAATACAAGCTAGATCACAGGGTGCTGTGCTCAGCCGTCGCGGATGTATTTCCGGTGACGATGATCTTCGATGACGATCTCGTGATCTGGACTCCGTCGTCGCGGGGGCTCATACCGCCTGGGAGCTTCTATGTAACGGAACGAGTCTTGCTGGGGTTGCTCGTACTCGACGTGGTGTACGTGATAAGGTACGGGCACGCGAACGGGCACCATGCGTTCCCGTTCGATGTAGACCTCGCGATCTCGACCATGTCTGCTGTGGCCGCTGCCGCTGCTGCGCGACGATGACTTGGAGCTTCGTGACGAGCTCTTGGAGCTCCTCGAAGACCTGGACCTGCCGGATCTGCTAGACTGATCTGGGTCTACGTCTACTGCGATGACCTCAATCCCGACGTCCGGCTCGGGTTCACGTACAGGCTCAGGCTCAGGCTGAGGATAGTAGTGTACAGATGCAGGCGGAGGAGGCGGCGGCGGTAGAGGTTCGACGATGACCGGTGGCGGCGTATACCTAGGCTCTGGGAGCGCCGGGGCGGGTGATGGACAGTGCACAAACTCGGGCTCGGGCTCAGGGGGAGGGATGATGGTGGTAACGCGGGTGCGAACGGTCTTGCTACCGTTGGTGGGAGGTTCTAAGTAAAGAACCTTCTTATATTTGTGATAACGCTTCTCGCGGGGAGCTGCGTAGTAGGTAGCCATGATGTTAGACTTATTGATGTATATGACAATTGACAATTGATAGTATACTATTGGATGGGGATAGAGACAAATGGTATGTAGAGGATTATCCTCGCAACCAGATAAATGAATAGGAGGTTGGTTGTGTTGAATTGGTTGTGTTGAATTGGTAATTCTAGGTGGTCGAGAGTGTATGTAAAGGAGGAAAAAGCTAACCTGTCGAAGTGTAGAACCACATGATGGGGATTCGGATCTAGATATGGAAAGCGACGATGGGGGGGGGGGGGGACAACCGGGAATCGCGATGCCGCTTACGTCACGAACTCACGAACTCACGAACGCTGGGGACGTCACGACAAGTTCTACGGTTATCTAAACCGGATTTTCGATCGTCTGGGAGGCCGCTACTTCTATCGATAAAGCCGATAAGGCAGTTGGCTGCAGGGCCCAGAACGTTCAGAACTCTGATACGACAGGGAAGGTCCCGTGTAATTGGGTCTTTTCGGCTATGAGGCACCTATGCAGCGGGCAGTGTGCAGTGTGGGGGCAGTGAGTTAAGTGGCTCGGCTGCTTTGCTGCTGAATTCTGAAAAAGAAAAGCTTGGAAAACGGTAATTCCGTAGGGTTAAGTACGACTGTAATGTAGTGTAGGTAGTGTACAGCGCCGTATATGCGATTTTGTGCGACGAGTTCCCTTTTTTACCACAACAAACCACAAACACATATAAGATAAGAATAAGTTTTCTAAAAAGTTATCCCAATATAGGTTCGCCCAACTATCGCCTCTAAAAGAGTAGAGAATACGCGAAATTAAACGAACCGAGGACGGGAACTGGCCGAAAGTTAAATATTCGAAAAAAAAGATAAAAAGACTACTTGGCGCGCGGTTGTGTCAGTAGCGTCGGTAGCGTCAGTAGCGTCAGTAGCACACTAACACGAGCCCAACGCTCATCCTGTGGCGACAGCGTGACCTTGGCTTGCTTGGGTTCCGAAACCTTTGCCACAATCTTGTATTCCCATAACTTGTGAGACCCACGGTCAGGTAGGGTCAGGATGTAAAATCTCATCAGTCTTACAAGGGGTTAGGGTCTTTGCAAGGGTGCATCATGGGCTGCATGGTATCATGGGCACGTCTACAGTGGCTTACATTGGTTGACATCTAGGTAGCTTGCAGGCTTGCAGCTTGTGTTAAAGGGTAAAGGGTAAAGGGTAAAGGGTGGTGGGGTTCATCAATCGACCAAAACCTGACCTATCAGCTTCTATATTACTCTACTATGTACACAACTGCGTTGCTCCCGTTTTCTCGGAATTACCATTTATATCATATCTATCTTTAACTCATATACGACCTTTATGTATTCGCTGTCCTCTGCGACCTTACAGATGTCTTTCTCGGTAGACCCTTCAATACTTTTAACCCTTAACGGAATATGGAACATATGGATTAACGCCAACTTGGCCCTATCACGTAGAGAGAAGAGATCAACAGCACACAATATATTTTCGATATAACCTTATTTGTGACATGATCAGGTACACAACACACACTTCAATGTGTCTTTGCCCTGCATGCATACTGCAGAACTTTTCTTTTTAGGATATATTAATAGCCCACATTTTGACAATCGGAAAAATTACGCGTAATTACTCTCGAGATAATGTGGTAAGTGGCTCTCAATCAAAAGCGCATATTAAATCTGATGTTCCTCGTCCTGACAGCTAATAATAACAGCTCAGGTCTAGAGAATGTGGAGCGATGATCTTTTTGTCTTGCCGATTCTTTGATCGATCGCAGCAACCCGCAGTAGATTGGCATGAACAGCTTCGGAAATATCCCGACGAGTCTAAAGTTTACGTACAGGTTCCATTGTAAGGTGAACAAGTAACAGCATGGCAATTCCAGGTTTCGGGAACGGTGTTTGTGGATATACTCCTCGTAGTGCTTAGTTGATCGGCAAAGGCCGTGTTGGAACTTAGTTCGAGACTTTCGTATTCGAGAAGCTGGACAAGCAATTAACTGCACTAGGAAGCTGACAGAATGTCAATAATATGAATAATCAAGCCTCACCATGCATGGCGCTTCACGCCGACGCGTAAGTGTGGATCCGGGAAAATGAATGGCACTTGAGGCTTTTCCGATATGTAAATTGTACTTTAGGCTCACCGAAAAAAGGTCCTGAAGATCGATTTCAATGGTACGTATGATGCTATGTTGAAGACAATATATTGGTCGCCCTATTTTGTTCATCTTAAATAATGGCTAGGAGGCGAGGGATGAAATTATGTCGTCAAAAAGTCATATATAAAGTTGAGTAAAGCATGTTTATTAGTTTGCAATACTAACTTTCTCTTAACTACTTGGAAAGCATTAGCGTTAACTTATCTAAACAGTTGTTGATAGAATCAAGTTAGAGTAATATAGTCTAGTTACCTTAACTATACTTTAAAATCGTTCAATAAGAATCATACTTACCAACGCTTAAAAGACTTTGCAAATGATCTTACTTTAGTTCATCCGTAATAATCGCCTAACTCTATTCGTAAAGATCAATGTGGATCGTATTTCCAAAGCTATCCTAAAAGAGCAACAACGTGATTATATGTCAAGTCTACAGTATAGATTTACACCAATCAATCTAATTTGAAACATTTTGTCTGCTGAGATGACAACAAAATCGCGTGACGTACTATTAATAAGATTATGTCATGCAGTAACGCAAAAACACAGGTTTTGGACACAATTGAAACGAACTATGGGAAACTCCGAGATCTATTGTTACACATGCTGTACATGTTATAGCTAACAGCTAACATGTCAACATGTTACACGGGCCGAGTATACAACATAGTTTTAAATCAACTACAACCGATTAGGTTATACTATTTTCCATCTCTCCAAGTGTGCAAAATAAAAGTTGTTATAAAATGCAACGTATTGCTTTTTTCTTCTTTAACACATTGCGAGTATAAGCCTATAAGCTATCTAGGCTAGGTTAAGGTATATACGATTAAACACAACGCACACCCACAATATTATTATTCGCATATCGATGCAGCTTATTTACATGCGAACCGGCCATACAAAACAAACTAAGGTTATAAGATATCACACTACCGGTGCAAAGGATCAAGATCTAATGACGTAGCGGTAGGTAAGCTATGTAGTATCGTCCCCCCCCCCTCCCCCAATATTATCGCAGCTTAGTTTCGCAGTCTCGGGTGCGCTCTGACCGCATCGTCGACGTCTTTCGACGGTATTAGCCGCGAATAGCCCATTTTATTTTCCCTAGAACCGGGTGGAACGTTCCCGCTTCCCGCAGAACGGCTCGAGAGGCTGAATGAAGATGGGGGGAGCGGGGAGGATGGGGGAAGTAAAGGGACCCCTAAGTTCTCGACTCCCGACGAGGCAGGAGGAGCCTGGATGACGCCTTTGCGGACTGAGTTGGACAGCTCACAGCCGGTCCCCCCCAACAAAAGTTCGAGCTAAAGAACTTGGGGGTTCTTTTCCGAGAGGGGGGGAATTATTCGTCCAATCATATATCCGCACTATATGGTATTAGTTACTGGCCTGACTGGCAGATTCCTTGTGCTACTGGTCCATTGACAAATCGGTCTTCCATAGGTAGGCTACGAGCCGAAGTGGCACGATGCGATAGGACGGATTTGCGACCATATTCTCGACCTAAAGCTACTGCTGCTCCTTCTCACGCCGCCGTGGGATGGATGACGGATGCATGCACGACGGGCAGGAAGCTTGCATAAGCTGCATGCACATGTTCTACCGTATATTGTGAGGGCTTGATGGCTTGATGGCTTGAGGGCTTGCATGGTGTAAGGGATCTGCGACGGCATCATCGAAAGCAAACCACCCACCAACCAGCGCCACCTGACCCCAGGAATAAGTGAGGCGGATTTGCGCGACGTGGCTGCATGGTTTTTGATATCCGAATCCGATCTAGATGGGAGAATCTCCCAAGCTAGAGGAAAAGGATCTAAGCTATCCAAGCTGCTACTACAGTATTGGGTAGGTACTACTTTTAGTACTGCCATGACGTCCGCGGCACCGGCGGGCCTAGAGTCGCCCGGCTATATGGTCTCATCGCCTGTTGCGGGTCTCTCCCAGTATAGTCCTCTTGGGGGTAATATATGACGCCGTTTGCAGTTGGGCGCGACACTCGTGCATAGCTTCTGTTCGACCGAGAGGGGAGCCCTCTCACCCAATCGATCAAGTTATGTAATTCGCCCATCCACCACAGACCTATGATGATTACTACGATAGTAGTAGGTAAGGCCGCCGCCCAATACGCCCACTGTCCGAGGTCCATGTCGCGCACGTCGCTGGAGTTCATACCGAAGATAGAGCTTATGGTACTAAGTGGCAAAAAGATAATGGTGACCATGGTGAAGGCGTAGACCGCTGCTTCCTGTCGATCCTTAGTCACTTCGATTTTGTTGGCATTCTGCGGGGAGTGTTAGCGATTTGCTCTATGTTATTGGCCGTACATCATAGCGTTACCATGATCTCGAGCCGTGACGCCTCGAGGTCGAGCTCCAAGAATTCGCTGTCTCTGCGCTCCAACCAGGCCTTACACTCGCGACCGAGGAGCTCCCTGAACCCGCCAGGGTCGGTGGATGCCAGTTTAGAGAAGGCGTCAGGGTGGCCGGCTGGCGTGAAGTAAGGGCCGGGAAGGATTGATACGCTTCTAGGGTAGTGATGGCCATAATTTTCGTACGCATCGAGCTTGTCCACGTATGCTGTGCCTTGCTTTTGATGGGATCGCGATCGCATTCTCGCAGCCTCGGCTTTTGATTTCTCACGCTCCTTATCTAGCATATCCCTCTCCCTACGGGTTTGGTCGCCCCGACATGGTCTTTGAGGCACAGTCATGCCGTCTACAACGCTCAACTGTGATGCAATCACTCGACGAATCACGGCGACCTCTTGCTTGAAAAAGGTGATGCGGAACTGATGCGAACGATCGGAGTTGTTGGTAGTGATTTCATTCTCCTAAGCTTGTTTCGTATCAACATGTAAATCTAGAGGTTCAGTGAAACTTACCAGCCCTTTGAGATAATCAGAATATGTGTCATCGATGCTCGAATACGTCCCCGTAGAGTCTTGGAGTAGCTTTAAGCTAATTAATGTGACGAGTTCCATCGGTTGGATGACGGAGCTGGAGAGCAGGTCCTCCGTAGGTAATTCGTCCACTTCGACGACGACGGCTTAGCACGGGTTTTATAGGTATAGAAACGGCCTTTTAGAGCTACACGTAGAAGAAAAGGCAAAATAGCTTTAATGGTTCACTTACTGATATCGTTCATTCCTCTTCGTATCAAAGCCTCCGCGACATTTATATTTTCGTTCCAAGCTTCGTCGTTTTGTGACGCCTGAATAAGGGCAATGACTAAATGTAACCAAGCACGGACGAGACTGTCGGGCACGTCTACCTTAGTTCGGAGAGAGGCTGGCGCGTGGGATAGGATATCCTGAAATGATTGTATCACTCTTGTTAGTCCTCTGAGAGTGGATCTAAGCGGGTACAGATTATTGTGTGTGTTAGCATTCCGTCGTGATACCCTTTCTCGTTGAGCTCGATCCTCCTCGTTGACTTTTGCATCTGGTATCTAGTCCCCTGTTAGATCACTTCGCCACGGCTTAAGACCAACTAGAAACCGTACCTCGACTAAGCTCTCAACCGCACCCCAGAACTTCCCTATAGTCGGCGCATCTTCGCTTAATAATTGTGGGAGAAAGAAAGAAAATACAATATCGGCCGCGTTATAGAAATCGATTTTGGTTTCGTACCCTCGCTTTTCCGCAGATTTTTCGTCAGCCTTTTCTATCCTCAGCCCTTTACCTCTTAGATATGCATGGACAGAGCTCTGTGAAGACATATTGCAGTTGTGATATGCGTTTCGATCCCTCATGCTCGTCGACTTAAGTAGGTAATCTTCTACTTCTCCGAGGTCTGTGATCAGTGCTTCGACGTCCAGCTCTCTATTGTCACCCTCACTTTCAGTCATCCCCAGCCACGAGAATACATGGAATTTGTCGTCGGGAGTTTGATATTTCTCAGCTTTTGTGTTCTTGTTATCGTTATTCTCTGTCGCCAATTCTTTGCGTTCGGCTTCTTCTCTAATTGGCTGTAAAACACCAATGGCTGGTGGAGGCGGATGTATCCTTCCTTCATATCAGTCGGTCCTTTCTCTGCAACGAGTGTAAGAGGGGCATACCATAGACGAAGGTCAAGAATAACTCTAGTATTCACATTTTTCACTATATTGACGATACGGGGCCAATCAGTTCCTATTACGACACGGTCACGATGATATATCCTTATCGCCTGTGGCCAGAACTCGCGGAAGTGTATCGAGAAGTCCTAAAGCTTTTAGTGATTGACCTTCAGTTTTATTAATTGATTAAGAAACTTACAAACCAAGTTGAGCAGGATTCCAACGGAAGCTCCCAAAGAACAGTGTCATAGTAAGACACGTATATTTTCTTCCCTTTGCCGATAGATTCCTTAAAGGGCTCGTTGGCTATACGTACAATATCACCTCGTAAAGTTGAACTCGGCATTCGACCGCATGTGATAAGCAGGGCTTTTCGGTGATTAGCTCGAATTACTAGATAGCTTCCCAATGGTGTAGACTTACTGTTGTCCAACACGATACACCACAGCTGTGCAATATGGAAGCAGTGGCCATCGGGAACTTCGCCATTCTTGCAGACAGCCTGTTGCATGTCACGCTCTTCCGTAGTGCGAGCATATTCCGATTGAAGTAAAGTTTCGATTGGAAAAGAAGAGACTGTGCTAGCCGACAGAAGTCCCGAATACTTCTCGAGCGAAAAGTACGGCACACATAGCCAAGTCACAAACCTCGAGGTCTGGCCTTTTGTACGTCCATCGGGAGGGATGGTCACGCGGATAGGCTTCGGGTCCATGTGTCGCACATTGTTACCCTTTGCTGTTGGCCTGACTTTAACAGAGGTCTTCTTTACTTCGGCAAGCAGCTTCGCGAACCCGTTGCGTTCTGAGTCGGTAATGGCAGGAATCCGTGCAATCTCGGTCTAACCGTTAAGTTAGCGGATAGCGGGAAAGACGCGACTTGGCTAACACACAGAGAGCTCATCGAGATTCATCATACTTTGCTCCAGATGCCTTGAGGCGCGTTAGTATACTGTCAATCTATAATTCCGAGCCACTTACACCCATCTAAAAAGGGGCTGTCTTTGCCTTTTAGGGTCATGTATTACGGTCAATTTTGCAGTATGTGTTCCGTCCGAGACCGCATCCCCAGTGTATTGAGATTGATATATGTGAAGCATGTCGCTGGCCCTAGGAACATTTGGCTCGTCCCTTGCGCCAGAGACCCCATCCTCGGACTTCTCAAATGAAATATCGCTTTCGATACTATGGCCGCTTTTTGAAAGTGCCTTAGAAGTTCGCGAAGGGATAAATGGAAATACCTTACCGCCCATGAGCTCATCGAAGCCTTCTTCTTCGTCCGAATCCGAGTCGCTCACGTATGAACTCTGGTATCGGCTATGCCTTGACCTCGAACGAGACCGGTTACGAAGAGAGGCTTCTGAATCTGAACTGCTAGAGTCATCCTCCGTATAGATTCTTGGGTACCTAGGAGGTGGCGGAGGTGGCGCAGGCGGCGACGGCGATGAAGAGTGAGAATATAAACGGTGCGGTATACTCTCTGGCTCGGCAAACCTGACTCTTCCGCGTTCATTCCTCGCTGGTATGTAAGACTGGTTATGGTCTGAGAGATATGAGTCCGCAGTAGAGCGGCGGCGGCTACGATGATCTCGACCTAGCCACGGCGTAGCATAAGGCGCTACAGCCTCGGGTACATGGAATCGAGCGTACGGCGCCGAATTCACTGGCATTGGCTGAGCATATGCATATTGTGGATTGACATAATTTCTCCCTGTACGAGAAACGGGCAAGAGGATTGGCGTATGTCCATATCGATTATCGGTGACAAGCTCATACTATAGGTGTGTTAACTAAGGCCTAAAGTCCCTCATAACCGATACTCACTGGACGAAGCTCCTCGGGTTCAGCTACGAAGTGGACGCGATCCCGACCCTGAGCCTGAGGCGGAACATGCCGTACATTATCTGCGAATTGCTGTAAAGAGTCGTTCCGACGTTGCTGTGAAGAATACAGTTGATCTTGGAGCGGAAACGAGCCGGCTCGACGCAATGGGTTTGGCCTCTCATCCGTCATGTTTTATATGACCGTGGGATGAAAATAAATAATTCTTCACGTATCTTTATTCAGACGAAAGAATTACCAGGGCCTCATGGACGCTATAGCATAGTTTTCAAATATAGTGAGGACAAGGATATTTGAAAAATACATTACATCTCAAAAGAAGTAAGCATCGCTCGATGAGGTAAGATGAATTGGGGCTAACTCAGCCCTATCACAAGACCCCGGCTATACAAGCCCAAGCCTCTATTACTTCCACCATGTAACACGATATTAATACCATGTTTGCTTACTACATACCTTGTACTAGAAAAACATGCAGGTGGTCTCTTTACTATTAAGGCCCATTTAAAGCTTCATTACTCTTCTCGATTTTGGATCGAGGCTTATATTGGATCATATTGGATCATATCTACGGGTATCAAAGCCTAAGCGCTCTTATGCAAACACCCCGATTAATCAAATCGCTAATATTATATATCAAACCGGTTTCACCATGAAAATCTACCCCGATGATTAGCATTTGGCAATACAATACAAAACAACTTCTTAGCTGAATACTTACTTGATTCATTGCTTGCAAGTCAGCTATGGCCATCCGTTTCGATGCGATGTGGCGGGATCGAGCCAAATGTCGTGCAGAAAAGGGTCGAGGAGTTGAAGTGCCCGTCCCAATGGGCGTCGACGCGCCACTCTCTTGAGGAGTAGCGTCGGACGTAGGAGTGGAAGTGTCCGCTAAAACAGATGCATCCGTTGACGAATTCGACTGTTTTTGCTTCTTATCCTTCTTGCTGTGCTTTTCTTTTTTCTCTTTCTTTGATTTGGACTTTTCTACCCGGGTCTCTTCTGATGGAATGGGTGTGCCATCGTTCTCAGTCTCGCGCTCAGCATCCTTCTTCGATTTCTTGCTTTTCTTTTTTTTCTCCGACTCGAGTGGCTCTGATCCTTCGGTGTTTTTCCGTTTGGACTTCTTGGATTTCTTCTTTTTGCTGGAATCTTCATCCCCTACATTATTGGCCGAGTCATCCTGTGGGGCGTCGTCCTTTGGCTGCTTCTTTCGTTTCTTTTCGGGGATGGCGTCAGGCTCATCTGTAGAGTCGACGTCTCCTGCTTTTCTTTTCTTAGATTTCTTTTCCTTCTGCTTCTTCACAGGGCGATCAGGAACATCCTCCAACGAGGTGACCGATTCCTCTTTGATATGCTCTTCCTTCACATCCTCTGTGGGAGTTTCAGCTTTGGTGGTCGTGCTGGTCAATCTCTCCATCTGGTCTCCAACCAAGAGACCTCCACTGACAAATCTCATGGAGCCGTATTTCCTCTCTACGTACAAGCAAGTCTTGACTTCTGATTTCACCTTCCTCTCTTTCTCAATTACCTCTTCGGACTTCCCGTTCAGTCTACCGAGGAGATCTTTGAAGACATCGAGGCCAGTGCATTCGGTGTTTTGTTTGTGCCGGGGCTTCGCTCCTAAACCCATGGTATCGTCTTTTAGGAGGACATTGATAGGGGCGGCGCTCGCAGCTGTGTGTAAATGAGAGTGCGAGGCATTCTGCGCTCCTAGAAACTTCCCCGGCTCCCAACCATGTGCTCGCAGAATCTTCTGGCCGAAGGTCGTCTCGTCACGGCTCCATTTCGTATTATTCGGATCGTGCTGGAGCTTTCGCCGGCTATAGAAGCATACGAATTAGTACATATTTAAATATGGATATATATAAGGGTTTCCGTACTTCCTAGGACCTGCAAGACCCATCGTGACTTGAATTGACTTCGTCGCGATCGCAAGTCAATCGCAAGTCAAATACGGTATGGGGAATTGAGAAGGCCGGATATCAGTGGGGTCTGGATTTCAATTATTTTTTGGCTGATAAGCCTGATAAGCGGTAATTCCTCGGAATAAAAATTACAATATTTTAGCGGCAGCCGTATGATTATGTAATAAAGGGGTATCAGGAGGGTAAGTACGATGTGTACGGGTTCGCAATGACTGCCGTTTCCGAAAACCTCAAACTTCAAAATAATAATTATGTACCTAGATTATTAAGCTTTAGTGAAAATAAAATGCCTAGCATTTACTTCAAATAGCAACCTACATCAAACTGAATAAGAACGTGAACTCAACCAACCAAAAGATTACACTCACCAGTTCCCAGAATTCCCGTTGACAACCATTCCCGTGCATTCAATCCAATCCATATATTAGGCCAGTTACATTAGAAACTACATCTAATAATGGCTCCTCGACGCAAAGAACCTACTCCAACTGAAGCCGATTCGGGCTCCGATGTTGAGTTGAATTTCAACTTCAACTATAAACCAAGCACGAGTGTTCCGCAGGCTATGGAAAGCATCGTATGCCCATCTACCATTCATCGGCGTGGTTGTCGTGATTGGGTGTTATTCAATATAGTCTACCCACAAAATACTCGATGCTAACGTCTTTCCCAATCTATATAGGACAGATGGAAATCGAAGCGGGCCGAGATCCAGAAGGGCATTGACAAAGATTATACTGAAAGGTTAACTGGCCTAAAGAATAAGATCAAAAAGCATTATCATGACGAGACACGGAAGATGTAAGATTATTTATATCTCATCTTCTCGGATAGAAATATATAAAACGCTAACACATACCTTAGGTCCAGCCATAATCAGCAGCAACTTCAGCGGCTAATAGCAGCGCTCGAGAAACGAATAACTTGCGAAGAGGAGATCAGAAACCGGATTGACTCGCTGCGAGACGACTGTGCCCATATGGCCATGTTAATAGATGCAATCTATGCCGGTCGCAAAGAAGCCGCCGCTCAGTCAGCAAAAGTTGCCAACCCTAGCCAACCCAAGAACTAAGTAGCTATTACCTATTACCTCTGTCAGCGGACCAAATGAAGCGCTTTGTTGGCTTGAAGTTTTCGGAGAGGAAGGGGCTATAATATCCTAAAAGCCTTAAATATTAGTGTTAAAATGTCGCTACATATTATTGATTCGATTGCTTGTAAATAGCTAGGATCTTACGAGAGCTATCTTGGGGACAAAGAATCCAAAATCCTTCATATTACTGTACTCGCCGACTTCAGTGATATCTCATAAATAGATTACTTAACTGTTTAATCTTATATGTTGGGTACTTATTAAAGAAACAGTCTGTTATAAACAACACTGTTGAATTGTGTCCAATGTATGTAATCACGTGATTGCAACCGAAGAAAAGGGGTAACTAGGGGATAGGATAACCGACAAGAAATAATACCAAAAAAGGATAAAAGAACAAAAAAAGCACGGAACTGGGAATCGAACCCAGGACCGCCGAAAAACTGCTTCGTGGGACCTGGCGCCATGGATATCGGAAACACGTGCCCGACCCAACGATTCACCTCCTCCCCTCGTCCGTTTTCTCTAGCCTCCTGTCACCCAGGCCAAAGAGCCTTTTGCGGGGTTGGCTGCTAGCTCTACGTTGATCTCCTCGATCGATGTTTTTATAGCGTTTCCACGACGCCAATTATTCAACTAGCAGCCCATCCCGATAGTAAAAGAAAAGAAGCTAGCCCAACGAAGATTGTAAGCAGATGGATACAGAATTTTCATTGTGCTATTCGACTTGGTTAAGACCAAGTCTGTATCATATGCTCTGTTTATACTGAGTTGACTTCGTATTATACAAAAGACCAGAGCGGAAAGGGTATTTCTAAAAAATCGTGTATGCCAACCAACCCAAACGAGCCTACGAGATAATGATGCATGTATATGCTGTCCTTTTTTAATAGCCATTGTTTAGTCCCTATAGTTATATCCAACATATGCATTATCTATTACGTATACCCATCCTCATTATACTTGGCATCTTTCCTTACCTATCGAGAGCTTGGCTCTGACACTAAAGACGAAGTAAGATTAGTAATTGTTCAATTATCCTCGAAGAAAAGGGGCTAAGGGAGAGAGGGGGGGGGGGGACTCACCATATTCCAGTAAACACCTCTCTTCTTCAGTAACTCATTATGCGACCCCTTCTCCAACACCTTGCCCTCGCCCAAAACGAAAATAATATCGGCATTTTGCACCGTAGCCAGCCGATGCGCAACGACCACCATAGTCCGCCCCGTAGCGGCTCGCTCAAACGCGCCCTGGACAAGCTTCTCGCTCTCAGAGTCGAGACTGCTTGTAGCTTCGTCGAGGAGGAGTACCTCGGGCTTCCTGACCAGAGCGCGGGCAATCGCAACACGCTGCTTCTGGCCACCAGAGAGCGAGACACCACGACTACCGACCTCGGTGTTATAGCCCTCGGGCAGCGACATGATGAACTCGTGGATACTCGCGTCACGGCACGCCGCATGTAGGTCCTCTTCACTGACGTCCGCTACGTCTGCGCCTAGCAGAATGTTATCGCGTAGCGTACCCTGGAACAGCGTCGGTTCCTGAGCTACTAGCGATAAGTGCCTTCGGTAGTCATATACGTTGATTTGTGCGATGTCTGTGCCGTTCGCTAGGATCTGCCCGCGCTGAAGATCGTAGAAGCGCTCGAGAAGAGAGATGATACTCGTCTTGCCACAGCCAGAGGCGCCGACTAGGGCTGCGAACTGACCCTTCTCGATCGTGATGTTGAGGCCTTTGAAGATGGAGACGTTGCGCGTGGGGTATTTGAAGTGTACGTCTTTGAGCTCGATCTTGATGCCGCCTTGTGTGTCGGGGATGTTAGTGTTCTTATCACCCAGGTCTTTGTTACGGGTCTCGCGGATGCTTAGGATGCGGTTGGCGGCGGCTGAGGCTTGGGCGGCGTTGGGACCGAAGCCGAAGCCCTGGCCTGCTGACTCGGCTCCTTGAATGACTGGTTGAAGGATTGTAGTTAGTAGAATGTTTCCTTACAAGTAACATAGGGGTTTTCTGGTATATCTTAGGCACTCTATGCAAAGAGACACCTCAGGCCACCCAAATAGAAATCAACTCTCACTTACCCGCCATATAACAGATCAAGAAGTTCAAAGTGTTATACTCTCGCGAAGCCAGAAGCGTGCCGCCATACCAGAAGATAAGAGCCTGGCAACCTAAACCGACACTCTCCGAGAAGGCAAATACGAGCGTCCTCAGCCTCGCCTTCTTGTAAGCCTCGATGACGTGATGGCTAAGCAAGTTTTCGTAACGGTTGCCGATGGTGTCTTCGAGGGTAAGGGAAGAAACGGTTCGGAAGGCTGAGATGGCCTCGGCAGCGAACTTGGACGACTCGGCAAAGACCTCTGCGTATAGGCTCTCAAATTCGATCTCGTACTTAAGGCGAAGATATCCCGCTGCAAGTCCTATAGGCATCGTGACGCACGTAGCGACAATGGCGAGCTTCCAGCCGAAGGCAAAGGCTATAGCTAGACAACCGATGAGAGTGAAGAATCTACGTAGGCCGTGTTAGCAAGAATGTAGACGTGATGTCCAAGTAAAGGGATACTCACGAATTATAAACCATAGCCATATTTAAACCAAGAAGTTCCTCCAGTTGCTTCGGGTCACTCCCAACTCGAGCCGTAAGCGAACCCGTCGAGTTCTGCTCTTCATCGAAGAACGATGTCTTTTGATACAAGATACTCTCGAAATACTGTTGTCGGTATGTCGCGGAGATGTACTACATTCGCAAGTTCAGCATATAGATAATCTACTACAGCGGGGACACCTACGTGAGCAAGATGATTTGACGCAAATGCCAGGACGAAGTATGCTAGGCCTGTGCCTATACCGAGAACAACCCACATCAAGGACCAGAAGTTTGCTTCGGCTGTGAACTTGGGGATGTCGTCCATGTAAGCAAAGACGACAATAATTTTCCCGAAGAGGTACGCTTGTAGAGGAGTCGATGCTGATATTTCTTGTTAGCTCAAGCCTTCTCACGAACTTTGATTGTTCCAACTTACTCGCTGTGCACATTGATGCCACGATGATAACTGCATAGAAGGGGAAACGAGTTCGCTGCTCGTACAGCAATCGTCCAAAGCTTCCAAATAGACCTCTTCTCTTCCACTGAGCTGCCTTGGGCGCGTCCGCAGCTTCAGAGAACGCAGCGCTTTTTTCGCGGCTGAGAATCGCTCCTAGGTTCTCTTCCTCCGGGCCCTCAGAGTCATCGGCATCAGTGTGTTCTCCTAGAGAAAGCTGTTGGGCGTGGACGAGGCCATAGTAAACACCCTTATCATTCTCTAGGAGGGAATCGTGGGTCCCCTGCTCGGCAACCTTTCCTTTTTGCAAAACGACAATCGTATCGGCCTTCTTGATCGTCGAGAGTCGGTGGGCGATAGTAATGGTAGTTCGGCCTTGCGATACCTTGTCGAGCGCTGCCTGCACAATACGTTCGCCTCGGACATCGATCGCGGATGTGGCTTCGTCGAGAATGAGGATCTTAGGTCTTTTAATAACGGCTCGAGCGATGCATATTCTTTGGCGCTGACCACCCGATAGCTTCGTGCCGCTTTCACCGACAAGAGTCTCATATCCATCCGGAAGCCGGTCGATAAACTCGTCAGCGAACGCCTCCTTACAGGCCTCTTTTACCAGCTCTCGTTTCCGCTCTTCGGGCTCGTTTTGGAATTCTGAACCTATTAAACCGTACGCAACATTCTTATAGATAGTGTCGTTGAACAAGAATGGCTCTTGTTGTACAAGTCCGATCTGAGACCGCCACCACTTTAGATTGATCTCCTCTAGCTCATGGTCACAGGTAGCTATCGATCCCTTTAACTCTACGGCCGGACCGGTGTCTTCAACTTCAGCAGCGGGGGTTTCGTCGTCAGATTCGTCTTGGCTTTTCTTCTTTCCCTTGCCCTTCTTCGCTGCCTCCTTTGCCGGGTCCTTTTCGATAGCCTTAGCAATGATGTATTGGTCATGTAGAGTATACCATCGTTCGATCAGGCCGACTATAGTACTTTTACCAGACCCAGAAGGTCCAACAATAGCCGTAAGTTTCCCTGCCTCGATTCGAAGGTTAAGTTGGTCTAAGACTTTGACATGCGGTCGACTCGGGTACGCAAAATCCACGTCCTTGAATACAATATCGCTGCTCGCTGAAACGTCGGGCTCCTTAAGTTCGCCGGTGTTCGGTCGAGGGGCATCTATGACGGTAAAAAATTCACAAGCAGCCACCGTAGCTTTACCCATTGCGATGAGTGGCGTCGAAATTCGTTCGATGGAAATAATCATCATCATGACCGACATAAGTACCACAACGATAGTACCTACATTATCGAGTCGGCCCTCGACAAACGATCTAGATCCATACCAGAACGCAAGCCCGAATGCGGCGTTGAATGCGAAGAAAACCAAACACATCTGCATGCCGATAAGGGGCGAAATTCCTTGGCCATGCTTCTGTCCTTGCTGGGCCCAGACAGCGAAACGCTTAGCAACTTGGGATTCGGCACCGCACGCAACCACCATACGGATAGCCGAGAAAGCCTCGTTCGCTACCGAAGACGATTTGGTCTCCGCCTTGGCAACTTTGGTCGTTCCCTTGACATAGAATGGGATAGTAATACTTACGACGATGAGGATAAAGAGGAGAACAGAGCATGTCACCAGAGCGAGAGCCCAGTTGTAGACGAATGCGATGACCGTGGCGGCAATGATCATGACAACGAATTCGACGAAGACGCCAAGCTTCTCCGAAACACCTAGCTGAAGCGTATTCGCCGTCGTCGTAATCGTCCCTGCTGCAGCACCAGAGGGCATCGAGTCCAGGACGTGGATCGTTTGACTGAACAGACAGCGAAGATAATCAAGTCTGATAGCTGCAGACATCCGAATACCAATCAGCCGGTAGGCAAACTATTGCTGTGAGTAGATATTCTAAACGGCAAATACTAAATATCAATATACCTTGTTAATGTATGTGAGAATGAATCTCGCAATAAATAGAATGAAGATGTATAATCTTGTATATAGTATCAGCGACTAGCCCATAGTATCACATTGTAGACTTACGCATTCTTGTTAAGAGAGGCCCGGAATTGAGCCTCTGTCTGTGTAGGAACAGGGAGAAAGTAGCCATTGAAGTCGCCGACAAGTGCACCTATGAGACCAATAAGTATCTACAGCGAGTTTCTGCCCGTTCCCGGGTATGGAGAAGTCTTACCGAATACAACGTTCATCAGTGGAAGAGTCTTCGATTTAGACAATCTATTAGTCTACCTGGTATGCTCAAAGTCTACTTGTAAGATCTATACGTACGACACCTGATCCTCCGGCTGCTATAACTGCAGCAACCATAAGAACGAAATCCCAGAAGGTAGCATATTTGAAGATCCTCTAAACCAGCGTCAGCAATATCCAGATATGTCGTGATACTTGGCGAGGCACGAACAATATAGTCGCTAAAAACAGCCTCCCTTTCTGGCCGCAGCTTAGCATCGCGCTGCGCTTTCTCTTCTTCCGTAGTAATCGCATTGTCAGTAGACGCAGTCGGCAGCGCTATCTTCTCGTCGACGACCGACTCTAAAGCCGCCTCGCGGTCTATCGATTTAGTCCCCATGGCGAACAACTTGCCATATAGCAAACCAACCAGATAGATACCTTAAGGCTTACATAGGTATACGTGAAGTCGTTAAAACCATAAGGAAATGGTCCTAGATATGTAGGACTTTATGTAAGATGCGGTAGCCTGGAGGCGATGGAGGCGATGGAGGCGATGGATGGGGTCGCCAAGGACCGGGCTAATGAACCCAACCGAGATGAAACAGGCAACTATGTAATAAGTTTAGTTTTCCGTTGCTTTCTCAACAAGGTTTAAAGACGCACGTCAAAGGCGAGTCAAAAGGGGCAGAAGGAAATGATTACCCAGGTACCTATTCCGTAAACAATGTCATCTTTTTCAAATTTCTGGTACGTGACGGGATTCTATCGAACCCATGAATCTTTAATTCTGCCTTACCCAGGACCGCACTACGCTAATACGCGAGGCCGGTGTCATCAAGATTGTCATCAAGATCTAACCGAAGTCCAGACCAATCGCGGGTCCTATAAAATTCTCTAAATACGGCGTATGGCCGTATGCACGGGAAGACGATGATGTGGATGTGGGTAGCTTCGGTGTCCTAACGGTCCCCGACCCCGGTCTTATTAGCCAGTCTAGCGCATTCATACCCTGCAAATGCCAAATAGTCACTACCTACGCATGTTCTACTAGTATACGGAATATGTAGATGTCAAATAGATGTCAAATCGAAGGCGATCGGGCTAATTTGAAGTCCTACCATGCTGCCATGCAACCCACCAGGAAATACTGCGTAGGTATTCATCCCTTTACTCCGTCTTCATGCAATTTGGGAACCATTAGCATCAACAACATCGACAAATCGAACCCTTCGGTCCTTTATTTCGTAGTATATACTCACCTCCTGAACTAAATTATGAGGTATGAAGTTAGTAAATGCAATAAGCTTACACAACTAGCACCAGCGCGGCCTAGCCCGAACCGATATCTACCTCGAGTGACTCTCATAGTAGGCGTGATCCGCAGGAAACGTCAAGGAATCTTTCTAATTGAAAAGCTAACGCAGCTGAGTAAATGAACACAGAGTGACTCATGAATCTTGGCATGAATCTTGGCATTACAGCCGGCCGAAATTTATCTTTATTGTCGAAGATCTATCACTATGAGCCGTACTTCTCAATGGATGACAGTAGTGGTACCGTGGGTATGGTAGCATATCTTAGGTACCTCCTACGTACGTAACATCTAGCCTTGGCATTTATATCAACCAGTTTACAGCCTACAGCAGTGGACTCCCGCAACCTTCACCACGCGTCTGTTAAAAGTCTTACGTGGAATGGATATGCCTACGGCCATCCCATGCAATATCCAGAAGGCCCCTCATCTTATGGGACAAAGACAGGTAATCACGGCTTAAAAGTTGCTTAAACCAGAGCATAACATTGCTTTCTATGGAAATATCGGTGGCAGACCTTATTAGTAGTCCCGCGCGCCCCCTATCCGAAGATCCCACGTTGAAAGGAGATCACATTTTTCGTTCCGCGCCCCAAGCTTGACATTCTCATGCGCCCCTTACCGGTAGTCTAGTCAACATCGCACGCGACGGATACCGCCAGTGCCAGACTAGAAATTAACTATCGGGGGAAGATATCAGTGGGTTGCTCGCTCTATGGAAGTCTACAAGACTGCCCAAAATCTATCGCTGAAACGCCATGCCGATATCTACTTACAACTTGTTAGGGGGCGCGGCAGATGTCATCGGCCACTGGTAACCTGTAGCATCGCTAAATTTGTACCCGTAAGACGATGTAAAGTCGTCAAGGACTGCCGGTCCTCGCGAGCCTATTATGTAGGTTAGTGCGTGTATAGTATTACGAGCTTATGTTTTCTACTCACCATAGGGGTATTCCATCGGGACGATCTCCTTGTTGTCATCAAGGTAGTGCAGCAGGGGGGTGAAGATCCTCCAGCTAGCGTCAAGCTCGTCATCTCTAACAAAGTTGGAGTGGTCACCCTTGAGCGCGTCTAGAATTAGCGACTCGTACGCCTCGGGAATCTTAAGGTCAGAGAATCGTCGTCGGTATGTCAAATCGAGTTCTGTCACAACCGTCTGCATGCTCAATCCAGGCAGCTTAGAGTTCATCTTAATATAAACACTCTCGTTCGGCTGGATTCGCATGACGAGCTCGTTTCGGGGAATGTCCTTGAAGATACCACTAGTAACGTCCTTGAACTGAATTCGAATCTCCGTCTTTTGCTCGTTCAGGGCCTTGCCCGCCTTCATAATAAACGGAACGCCATCCCACCTCTCATTCTTGATGTAAGCAACCAGAGCGCAGAAGGTCGGGCATCGCGAATCTTTGGGAACGGTTTCGTCCTCCTTGTAAGCAGGCTTGGTACCATCGAGGGACCTTCCGTACTGGCCGATAATGACGTTCTTCGGCTCGATAGCCGGGATAGCTCGCAGTACACGAACTTTTTCGTCGCGAATATCCTCCGCCGAGAAAGAGATAGGTCGCTCCATGGCTAACAGCGTTAAAACCTGGAGCAGATGGTTCTGCATAACGTCTCGGATAATTCCAAACTCGTCGAAATAACCGCCACGACCCTCCGTACCAAAAGGTTCCTTGAATGTGATCTGAACATTGTCTATGTGGTGTCGGTTCCAGGTAGCACCGAAGAATTCGTTACCGAATCTAAGAATTAGAATGTTCTTCACCATCTCCTTTCCAAGGTAGTGGTCGATACGGAACAGCTCTTCCTCCTTCCAGTCAGGCTCCAACGACTTTTGTAGCTCGCGCGAGCTGGCAAGATCCTTTCCAAAGGGCTTCTCAACCTAATTGCAAAGAAAAATTAGAAAAGTGTTTCGAGACGCTGCGTTGAAGAGAATGTCCTTACGATAACTCGCGCGATACCCTTGGGAGGGTAGCAACATCTCTTCAAGTGTTGAGAGACAATGGTAAATACGCTAGGGGGAAGGGCCATGTAAAAGAGACGGTGTGTTTCGGGACGACCACCCTCCAGCTTCTCAAGGTGAGCATTGAGGTTCAAGAAGGACTCGTCCTGGTCGTATTGGCCAGACACGTAACTGCAGTGCTCACAGAACTCTGCCAATTGCTTCTCCAAATCCTTAGTAGGCGTCTTGATATATGACTTGACTCGTTTGAGGTATTCCTCGTGGTCCATCTTTGTTCGCGCATATCCGACAATCTTAACATCTTTAGGGAGGAATTGGTTGCGGTACTTCCGAGTGCGTTAGTTCTCGGTCTGCTGCGCCGGGCACGTCGGATTTGATGTAAATACTTACAAGGCCAAAGAGGGCAGGGAACTGTGGTGCTTAAATTAGCTAGGGAGCTTTGAATGTGGTAAAACAGTTGTTTATTACGTACAGTCTTCTTCTTTGCAAGATCTCCCGATGCGCCGAGGACCACGATGACCGTGTTCTCCTTCAGCTCTATACTACTATTAGGGAGGAATTGTTAGTACATGTTCCATACATAACAAGGTAAAACTCCTTATACACAATTCCAGATGTTCCATCCTTCGTAAACAAGAGACAGAGTTACGCAATAAAAGCTTTCGCAAGCGCAATCCTGAAGCTCTCTGTACCTAGATTTGATGATTGAATGGCGGGGCGGGGGCGGGGTATTTGTGAACTTACCTTGCTGGGGATTCCATTGCGACTGGTTTGCCGGTAAGGCAGGATAATAATTGTAAAGACGGAAATAACTATAACAATGGATGATGGAGAGAGGTATTTATGTAGTTTGGGGAAAAGATGTCGTAAAAATGTGAGAAGGACCGAGTGGAAGGCGGAGGGACCAAGTCGTTGAAGGAAGTAATAATGTCTGGGTTGGCCGGGCGGGACGGACGAATAGCTGTCGGTCACAGGCGGTAATTGATTGTTAAGGCCGATATCAGGTCCATAGGATGTGCTTAGGTTAGGTACTTTAGGTACTTTAGGTGGCTAAGAGTGGGTTGGTCCTTCAGATATGTCATTGGAGCCGTATTAGCAAGAGCGCTAGGTATTTCCACGGTCTAAGCACTTTTAGAATATTAACACCCGCACCTCTAAACTCTTTTTGGATAATGATGTATGATCATCAGTTTTGCTTTTACCGTTGCTTTTATTTCATTTTTTCTCTTCTTTTACCCTACCTTACTTAACTCGAGCATCAGATGCCTTATGTATGTATCGGTAGAAGACGAAGAAGAAAAACTTGACTTGTTGGCCTTGTAAGGTAACTATTCACCTATATGAGTAAGCGGAAAGCAAAGATACGCGTACAATTTTGAAAGGAGAAGCCCTTATTGACGTATGTATGTATTACTTGCTTATAATAGCATCGTGGTATTGTACCTTGATCGCTCGATAACTGCTGACCAATAGACATCGGCGGTAGAAGGGAAAATGGCCGAGAACGGCTTAAATTGACCGTAGTAATAGTGGATAGACTTGTATGTATTATTAAAGTAGTAGGGAGCCGAGGAGAGCTTACTTTTGAATCCTTCCCTTACAGCGGCTTAGACCTCCTACCTGAAGCTATCTAAACTCTCACTCGAAAGCTTACCTTTATTGTTACCAACTTAGGGACGGTTAAGCTGGTCCATTGGTGGAAAACAGGTCAATTGCTGCGTCGGCCGCGGGGTAATTTGAGACTCAACGGAAGGGTCCTGCGCAGTGCGGCCGCGGGGCGAGCAAGCGAGCGCCTCTTGTTGCATCCCTTGGGATTTATGGATTTGTGTAATAAGCCTCCCTTCTCACTAAGCGGGTTTCCGCTATGTGCCTCGGCAGATATTTATTCTGCTATCCCTGGGCCATAATTGATGTTTTTATCATTCCCAAGTTTTACAGGCAGCAAACCACCTGGCTAATACATGGTTGCAACGGGATGGTGGTAGAGTGAGCCTCTTGCAGCGGTCACACCTACTTGGCACACAAATGTGTGAGGGATTATTGATAGACTAGTAATGAGGCGGAAAAGAGGGCGTGTAGTGCCGGTGTATCACACGGAAGGCCGCGGCATGACTTTGACAGG